TGGATAGGTATGAGACAAGATTTGGAAGAATGGTGCAGAACATGAAGACCAAAGGGAAGTCTCCTAAGTTGTCTTCTCCATGGGAAGGCCCATATGACTTAAGATACTGTGTTGAATTGTAATTTTGTGCTTGTAAATTCTGTGCATTTAATTAAGTTATTATTAATTGTTTATTGGTTTAATGTAAGTGGCTATTGTTCGGGACGAACAATACTAAGGAAGGGGCAGTGTTACGACAGCGGAGGTCACGTGACGCTAGTAACACGTCATATTCTCGAAGCTTCGTGAATCCTCGGGAGGTTACTAGATGTTATGTATTCTTTTATATAAAACGGCCAAGAAATGACGGCAATAATGTAATGTAATGGTAAGTAAACTGCGGACAGAGAGAAAGAATATTGTTGAGTTGAGCACGTGAGACGTTCGTTGTGAATTATAGCGTTTGTTATAGCCCAACTGTGGAAATTAAGTGTATCGTAAAGTTGTATTCAGAAAGAATAAACCAGTTTTATTTAAGAGAGGACTTGCTTTGCTAAAGTTTCGTCGGAACAAAATTTACGGAAAATTAACTAATGACCGGAGGCGTAACAGTATTTAAAAATCTGATGCATGGGGTCCATATATGCTTCCATCATGATTTAAAGTTTATTAAAGTGTTAGGCATGAGTTGTGAGATATTTATAAGTAATTTTTTATACTGTATTTCCAGATTAAAATTGAAAAATTTGGTTATATTTCAATGCATCATTTTTTGTTTTTCAACAAGGTAGAAAGAAAAAGAGTTTGATTTGCTGGCTTACCAAATATTTGACCTTCACGTCTTTCAGTAGATGTCTGTCTCATCAAATTTTACCGCTAAAATGTACAGCTTTTTTCTGTGATATTAGACAACAGCTAGGCTGTTAATGATATTATTTAGTAAATAATCAACAGAATTATTTTGAGAACCTATGGTCATAGACACAATGAAACCTAACAATGTATTAGGAAGAAATTTTGAAATTCTGGATTCTCTTACCCTGCAAGTATCTTCATCATTTGAAGTCAGAGGATTTTATTTCAAATCTAGAAACACTGCACCAGATTTTCACTTATGGCATAACTAGCACATGTATACATGTAATAATTGAAAAGTGAACTGGCAAAATAAATTGTATGAGCCTGGATATTTTTTATCAAATTTATTTTATCTTTTAAGAGTTTAAACTTATTAACTTCTACTAGTTATGTGTGTTTCACTGTTTCTTTATAAAGTAAAACAATTTAAAGTATCAGGCAGAAAACTAAGGAAAATGTTTTTTTATTGAAAGCATGATGGGACTTGCCTTAAGATACCCCATCACCACTTCATGCAGCTGTGTGAGGTCATTTAACTGAACTATGATGCTGTGGAGTGAAGGCCACTGATAAAAGTTTTACATTGTATATTTTGTTCCATTAAAATTGTTTCTGTGCCTGTAACTTGTTTATATTTCATGCATATATTAAAAAGCAAGAAAAAACATTAAGACATGATGGGTTGTTTTTCAAAGTGAATTTGTACATATGCAATAAATTATCTTTAAAAATTATCATCTTCCTCATTCTTACTTCATCTAACTTTTTATATTTGTAATTTATTTCAGTTTTGGAAAACTGCATATGTGGAAACCAGGAAACGTTGCGGAGGAAACGAGACCAATTGATCTAAATGAAAATAAAACATCCCTGTCATTAGCTCTCTTCAAGAGCTTTTGGCCTTATGCATTCAAAGGATTTATGCTTGACCTCATCTACTGTGTTTTGAGGTTAACCCCAGCACTAATTTTGAAGTGAGAATTTTTGTTTTATTTTAAATGTTCCTCTACAGATCTTAATGTAAACTAAATTAACCTAAAAACTATGTGAACCAATTCAAAACAAGTTACATTATTTCTTTATGTGTGTGTGATGCAGCTATTTAGCACTTTACCAAAATTTACCCATTACCTAAAAATTAAAAATGTACATTTCTTTCCTGTATTTTAGTGCATTTATTGCAGAGTGAAAATTTTGGTAGAAATATGTTTTACATAACCAGTTTAGAGTTACATCCACTAATACCTGAATGACTTTTACTTTTGATGTGTGTGTATGTGTATACACATATATAATGTTCTATTAAAATCAAATACAATGGCCTATGTGTTGTGGTACATAAATATACTATGCATTTTTGTCCTTTTGTATTATTATAGAATTTATTCTGAAATTACTATTTATTCTGTATAAGTGCAGGTTTCACATAACACATAGTTGAGGAAGATATTGAGTTGAGTTTCTTCTAGCTGCCTTTGTTCTTTTGTTATTCTAGAGAAGAAAATGTACTATACCCAAATTTTCCCAAACGTTTTCAGACCAAAAAGTTTATACCTAATTTCTGGTCTCTTCTTCAGGCTCATATAAAGAAATAATTTAAAACAAAAGACATTCCGTAATCACCTACAACGTAACCTTAATGACCTGTTACGCCTCTGGTCGTTAGTTAATTTTCCGTAAAAATTCTTTCTGAAGAAACTTTACTGATACAAGTCCTTTCTTAAATAAAACTGGTTTATTCTTTCTGAATACAACTTTACAATACACTTAATTTCAACAGTCGTGCTATAACAAACACTATAATTCATAACAAACTTCTCACGTGCTCAACAATATTCTGTCTGCATACATTCAATTACTTATTACATTGCCTCTGTCACATTGTGACTGTCTTATATATAAAAGAATACCAAGATCCAGTAAACTCCCGATATTTCATGAAGGTTCGAGAAGGAAGTGGCGTGATACAACAACCTTATGAATTTTTCATAGGCCAGATTATGGACACATTATACATTATTTGGAAACACACAACAACATAATTTTTAAAAAATTAATTTCAAACTTCTAAACAAAACTACATTTACATGGTAAGACTAAAATGGTAGCTTCTTATATACAAGTCCTTTCTTAAATAAAACTGGTTTATTCTTTCTAAATACAACTTTGCGATACACTTAATTTCCACAGTCGCGCTATAACAAATGCTATAATTCACAACGAACGTCTCACGTGCTCAACAATACATCTCTCTCTGTCCGCAGTTCAATTACACATTACATTGTTGCTGTCACATCTTGACCGTCTTATATGTACAAGAATATCGAATCTAGTAACCTTGCGAGGTTTCATGAACGTTTTAGAAGTGCATGACGTGTTACTAGCGTCACGTGAGCTCTGCTGTCGTAACAATATCTAAACAGATAACATCCTGTTCTCTGTTGAATTTGCGAATAATTTCAAACTTTCATTTCTGGTACTAAAAGTTCAGCAGAATGCTTAAGGTTTTGATGTTAATTACTTTCAGATCTTTATTGTGAAAGTGTAAAACTAGCATTGTTTAAACATAACCTAATTAAGTTTTTAATGACTCAAGCATTTAAAGTTTTTAGTAACTTAACTGACTTTAATCATGAGTTATCAAATGTTATTTGGGATCTTAAAAAGAATGCCAGTCAGTTGATAAACAATTGATTACTATCATACTCCCTGATCTAGGTTGCAAATCCTTGTCTAGGATTATGAAATTATTTAACAAGGCCTATTCTGAAATACACCTTAGATATGTCTATAAGAATTCCTTTCGACTAAGATTCTTCTTCCCATTCAAGGACAAAATTAATAAAATGTAGCAATTTTTTGTTATTTATAAATATAAATATCTTCTCTGCTTGAAAGACTACATTAAGCCCATGACCAGATGTAATCTGTAAAGGGCTGTAGAACATTGTACTTCTTCCATCTGTAACAACTTGTGTTTTAACCCGATGACTACCGGCTACTAACTTTCTTAGTAGGCAATGCAAGTCTTGCTATATTTCATTCCATCAATAAAACTAGTGG